AAAAAAAAAAAGTTGTAGAGCTTGCAGAACTTAACAATGGCGGACGAGAAACATACACTCTTGCTTTATATAAGATGACAAGAGGAACGGAGTTGAAGCCGTTGGTGTTCTTCATACCCAGGGTTCACTATTTCAAGTAGAAGGTAAACACTTCACTTGAATATTTTTATATCATGGTAATTTATTTTATAAAAACTTTTGAGAGCACTAAATCAAAGAATTCATGAAACTGAGAATTTTAAAAGGGTTGAATACGAAGAAGAAAATTGTGTCAGCATATTTGTTTACAAAATGATTCATTGCCTTAATATCCCATTGCTACCAAATTGATGAAGCAAAGACAAGTCTCATTTAATGTGTGAATAAGACATCATTTAATGTGTTAGGATGATTATTAAATGAGGGCCCCTTTACTCTTTGCCCATCTTGTGGTCATTTAATGTAATAAAATAAATAAATAAAAAAGAAAAAAAAAAACGGTGGAGATTAATTTGTCCCCAAGAAAAAAAAAAATTGATGTAATATTTAATTGATTGATTTGATTGTAAAATCGTATTTTGCCAAACATAAAAGACAAGAATTATTGAAATATGTTTATATTAAATGCATACTTCTATTTAATGAGAGCTTTATTTTGAGACCAATGTTGATATATTTAATGGTAGCCGATGGGTCAATTATTGAAATATAATAATAATAATAATAATAATAATAATAATAATAAAATATGTGAGATGGCCGAACAATTTATCAAAAGAAGATTTGAACAACTAAGTGAATCGGTCAGTGTAGCAAATAATTATGACCGGTATGGCCAGATGATAAATGTATTAATAATGATGACCTGTGATGGCCAAATTATAAGTGTATTTGTTAATGATAGCCGGTGATATAGAATGGCCATATGATAAGGCCATGTGCAACGAAATATGATGGCTATATATACATGGGTGGCTAGTGCGGCTCTGCCACCGGCGATGAGCAGTACAAATTAAGGGATAGCCGATGAATGAAATGAATGACACTTTGTATCTGCCATGTCAAAGTTAATTAAAGTTCTGATCATAAACGAACATTATATGGAGTAATCTGATCCTGGAAAAGCAGTGATAAAGTCTCCAAATTTATTAATATTGGAGAAATGATAAATTGATAAGATGGTAACAATGTGATGTCGAAAGTTACGACATAATGATTAATTGATATCTGGTATTATTGGTACTGGAAGCTACCACATTATGATTAAACAATATGATACCAGAAGCTACCGTTGGTTGATTGAACAAAATAAAAAAGTGGTACCAAAAGTTACGAGTTATTGGTGACACACAAAAAATGATTTCTCAATATATTATATGAGTCTACGAGACTATATCATATCATACTGAGATTCGAGATTATATAAATACTACAGAAGAAGCACATATGGTAAATAATTGTAGTCATGAAGTACTACACACTTATCTTGTGGAAAAGCCAAATTGATATTATTATTAATGATAAATAAGTACAAAAAATTCATATGGTGGAAATATGGAGAAGAGGCAGTACATACTCGATAAGTACGAAATACGCAAAATTACATAATAGAACCCATAAAAGAAGGGTGCGTCTCGAGAGTATAAAACTCCGTAACTCTGCCACCCATTATTGTTATCTTGGTTCATAATGAGAGATCTAAATGATCAAAAGCTCTTTTTCTTTTGACCCCTTGTGTTTCCACATAATCTTGAAATGTGATGCATTCTTGGAGCTTTTTGATAAGCTCACCAGACGTATCTGCAAATTTGAACACTTCTCTTGTTGTAGGAGATATAAAAGTTTGATATACTCCTTGGTCTAAAAATCCAAGCAAACCAGAAAAAAAGTTATTAAAATTCAATAGACCTATGGGCTTGTTATGAAGTTTCAATTCTGCCCAAGAAGCAAGGATGAACATTGTCATTAGCATTCCATAACCGCCTGGAAGAATGATAAATGCATCGCTCTTGTTCGCCATATCCATCATACAATCATGAATAGAATGAGTTAGCATTATGCATATGGAATCCTTGACGACCCTTGTTGAAGCTCTATGAAAAGGTATGATACTTTTCACTTCTATCTCAAAACATTTTCCGGCCAATAAAAGATTATCAAAGAAAGTGATGCTAGTCCCTCCATACAGTAAAGTGATTTTTTGATTTCCCATATCCCTTACTAACTGACTCACAATATCAACATTTTGAGAAAAACTTACCAGTCTAGAACCACCAAGAACACATATGGTTTTGATCGGCTGAAGAAATTTATTACCTTGCGAAGGCTCTGAAACATCCATCTATTTGTTGATAAACTTAATATTTCAAAAGTTTATAAGGCATACGATTATGATGAATGACTCGCTATTTAAATAGAAAGTCTTACAAAGCGATAAATAATTTTATTGTTTTCTTCTGACAATTGCAACTGACAGATAAGGTGTTGGGTTTTAAATAAATCTTATCTGTCGACAACTATAAGATTCTCTGAAAATTACAGTGCAACTACTAAACTTCATTAGTATGATTTTCATACTAACAAAGACTAGTTTTACAAACTTGATCTTTTGAAACAATATTTTCAAGACTATAACGTTCCTCTTCATTTTGAAACGAATCCATAGAGACAGAAGCTCACGATGCACATACCCACTAGGATGTGTCTCAAGAATCTGGTGGATCGTTTGATCCATCGACTCCTTACTCAATCCATCCTTTATAAATGCTATTTTATCTTCTCGATTTTTGGACACGAACCCCACAGATTTACATCGTGTGTCACAAGTCCATCGAGCGCATTTGAAACATCCACCTAATCTTTTTGCTTTTCGTTTCTTTGCAAAAGTACTCTTACCCATACCTGACATATATTTGCATGAATTTGGAAACTCTCCAGACAATCGAACTTTTGCTTCAATCAACCATCGAATATCGCCTGGAATATTATTAATCATTAGCACCCTCAATCTTCCTATTCGAGACCAATAAATTCTTTTTATGATATTTACTGGAACAAAAGAATAATATTTACGGATATTTGAGAGTGCCAAATCCATATGTAAATTCGGACCTTTGTTCGTAAAGATTAAATGATTTGCATGATAATTTATAGAAATGATGCGTATGCTATACGACTCTAAAAACAAAGAGTCTGTCTGACAGAAAGATTGATATGCATGTGATACAGTTCTGAATTAAAATATTGTGGATCAGAATCTGCACTTGAAGTGCATTTATTGCCGCCGAAAGATGATGTGATATGTTTGTGATAAATGGGTAACAAAGAATTATTGGGATATTTATTGATATAAATGATGATGATTTGCGTGATTAACTGATTCTTTGTAATATGTGATACTTTGTTCTCGATAGGTGAAATTATTACTAGCTAAATATTTGTGAATCGATATTTGATCAAACTGAGTATGAAAGAGGTACGATATATATGGGCCCACTACCCCTCCATGTGTGCTACTAGATATTATGGATCCACTAGATAGCCACATGTGTGTGATCCGTAACCTGAAGTTACGAGATGATTTGATCAAAGAATGTGTATATGACACGTAACATGAAATTACGAGATGGTTTGATCAAAGAATGACACAAGGTGGCTATGAAAGAATGAAAATAAGTGTCATATGAAAGTGATGAAGCTAGTAATATAATCAGCTCATATGATGAGATGAAAAATGTGCAC